GTGCACAGTTCTGTTATGTTCTGTAGTCTGCCTGTGGCACCCCAGCACTACTGGAGGAATTGAGATGCGAGACTAAAACAGTGGACATGAAGCAGATAATGCAGGGCCAGAAGGTAGTCCTGGAGGATTCCAGGACACTACAGCTAAGCTCTGTGGAATCCATGACCACTTCAAATGGCAGCACAGTCGAGCAGGAGGTTTATGCTGATTACAAGTAGTTATGCTGCAAAGATAAGAGAGGATAGAGCAACTATTGTGTAACTAGTTCTTTTTTTTATGTGTGTACAGGCTGAAATGAGTACAGCTCATTTAATGATAAGCAGAATTGGCTGTCCAAAAAGTTCAAGGAGTTTGATACTGTATTTTTAAGAAGGCTTTGGTTTTGATGTGATTTTAATATGAAGAAATGAACTTCTGTACCTGTTCTATAATTGAGACAGAGTAAATGATTCTGTAGTGGTAATATGAGATCCGTATTAATCACATTTTAATGTCTTGGGTTTTTCAGCTCACTTTGTCCTACTATATATGGCCATGAAGTAAGTAATTTTTACAGTTCAGCTTTTCATTCTGATTTCAAACTTATTTACAACTTGGTTACAGTGAACTCCCAAGGGATTTTTTTTTTTTTTAAAGCTTAGCAATGTGGAAAAAACTGATACCTTCTCCCCCATCCCACTCCAGCCGCCAGCTAACGTTTGGATTCAATGTTCCTTTTTCCATGTCAGTTCACAAACAGAAATCCCAGAAAAGAACCTAGATAGGGAATGGTGCAAGGGTGGGAGCTCTCGTTCCTTTTCAACCTTTTCTTGCACTGTACAATTTTTCCCTTTTACATGGTTCAGTTGAACACAGCTAGCTCTGGGAAGCAGTTATTACCAGTGGTTACTGTTGCCTAATTCTGACTAGTGTCTGTATTTACCTTTCTAGATTGTAAAGGCAGGCTTGGTGCTGGCATTGTTTGGAGGATGCCAAAAATATGTTGATGACAAAAACAGAATTCCAGTGCGAGGAGACCCACATGTTTTGGTGGTTGGCGATCCAGGATTGGGAAAGAGTCAGATGTTGCAAGTATGGGTTAATTTAGCATGATGGAGAGTGGATGCATGCTTGTTGCTTTGTCTCTAACCCCTTGCACTGAGTGTTTCTTTGCATGTGCAGCCCTGTGATCCACTGCAGAAGCAGCCAGAGTGCAGAATGCTGCCCTGGGACTGAAGGATTACATTGGAGTTAGTTGGGATCAGAATCCCCACACCATCTCTCCCAGACTTTTAACTGTGCAGGGGAGATATCTGTTCTCTGGGGTTACTAGGACTCTGGTACCTCCCCTCTTCTATGTGGCCTCAAGGGGATAAACTGTGAGGAGGAGGCAGCTGCAGACTTCAGCTTGTAGTAGCAGCTACAGAAGCAGCCCAAAGCAGTGATAGAAGGACATTGAGAGGCATCTACATTTTTCACTGGATTTTCTCTTCCCTGTTCTGCTTTGGCTAGTTTACATTAAGCCAGAAGTGTCAAACTCGCCCCAGGCTAAATATAGATGAGGAGGAAAGTGGGGAGGGTCTTCTAGGTCGTATTCACGAGTCTAGGGGCAGCAGGTCTGGGGCCAAAGGTTGGGATTGGGTAGTGGCTGTGGCATGGGTCCAACAGTGGTGCAAGTCCAGGGGCAGTAGTGGGGTTGGACAGTAGCAGGCAAGCAACGGCTATATCTGCACAGCCCTAGCACACTTCCATAATTCTGATGAGTTCTGCCATGGGCAGTAACCCAGCCCCCAACTTCTGGGCTCCTACCAAACTACCAGAGGGCCTAATGGAACGGTCCATGGACCAGATGTTTGATACCATGTCTCTTTAGTATCTACAGTTCTGTTTCACTCCCTCACTGCCCCTCTTATCCTCTTTACTGCCCTGTCCCCCTTGTATACCTTTCCCACTCTTAACAATTAAGTAAGCCCACAGAAAAAAAAATCTTGTGTGCTGTTCCTCTTCCCTGTCTTTTGTCTGCTTAATTGTAAGCTCTTCAGGACCAAGACTACTTGCAGTTCTTTATCTGCCACAAACGGACCCAATCTTGGCTCTTAAGCACTAAATTCAATAATAACTGTGATTAATACTAGAAAGTCTTCATTTTAAATTATACACAATTTAAGCTCTGCATCTTTTTTCAGTTAGAGTAAATTCTAACAGAAACACACTTTTACCCTTTCATCTGTTTTTATTCAGATTTCTGTTTTTGTTAAATACCAGTACACTAAATAATTAAAATCCCTTCTAGACTGCTTTAAATGTTAAATGAATGCCTTTTAGTGAATCTTCTGTTGTTTTCACTTTTCCCAATGACATCTAGAAGTGAACAAAAAATGGACATATGAGTATTACACTTGACATAATGTACCTGACTAAATTTTCTATGGCATGCTTTATATACAGCAAGTGAAGGCAAGGATAGTCTTGTGAATGGGATAAAGAATTGGGAATTGAGACCTTGGATATTATTTTAGTTTCAGGGATGGGCTTTCTGTGACCTTGTGGGAAATCTTCAAAATCACAAACAGCAATTAGGTACACAGTCTTCAGTGACTTTGGAGGGAATGCAAATCTTCTCTGTCTCAATTGCCTCATCTTCCCCATACTGAGGATAGGGGATTATAATTTACAAAATGTGTTACATTCTGAGAATACTTGCGAAATGAATTTTAAGATACTTTGACAGTACAATGGAATAGCGAAATCCTATACTATTAATAAAGCTCACTTTCTTTTTGCTCAGACTGTGACAGCAAGATGATATCAGACATCTTTTGAAAGGCAGAGCTTCTAATGACATATTGCCTCAACTGGCAGTATAGGAGAAATTAGTTTGTAAAAGTGCTGGTGTGGGTATTTTTAAAAATGAATTACTGAGCTAGCTTTACGATATTGTACCATACCACTAACAGGGTGTCACATTTATTAAGATGGAAAGCAGTGTTTTTAAGTATTGCGGCCAAGAAAAGGGTTGTAATTTTCTATGTGAACAATAACGTGCAATTATGTTAACATACCTGCCAAAACTTAAGAACCCTGTTTACTATCTGGAATAAATCTCTTGTAAGCGATAGATTAATGATTATAGCAAAGAGTGGGAGGAAGGCAATTCATTGGTGGAGACACCAAAAATATGTAAAAGCCATGAATCTTAAAATCTGAAGATGTGGTTGATAGAATTGAAAAAAGGAACTATTTGTGAAGTAGAGACAATATGAAGGAATACATCAATATATCTTAATTTCTTTGCTTCACTCTTCCTTTGTCCTTCTCTCTAGAAGCATTCTTTGAACATCTTTTTCCACATGTACTTATTGTACGAAGAATATTTCCAATCCACATCTTGACTAGTACAATTACACGCGCTCCTTTTTAGCACAACTGGATGGAGTGCTTTTTGTAGTAATCTGTAAACATGCAGGCTCTTTGTTTTCTGTTTTTAAAAAGTTTTTGAATCGGTTTCTTTTTGATATTGGCACATCTATGATTCTGATTTAGAATATTTGAGCCAAGTTCAGGGCTTTATGTATAAATCTCTTGCGTACAAATTTATTCCTGTTTTACCCTAAGTGGGAATGCTGTCACAAGCAGGGATCTGGGTTTTCTGTTTCCCATGGGAAAACAGAGGAAAATGCAGATTTTCCCTATTTACCTGAGGAAAACATGGATTTCTTATCTTAATGGAGAAACCCACGGGTTTTGCAGCGTTCCAGCCTGCAAGGGGGTGGAAGACAGTGGGAGGAGAATGGTCAGACAGGGGAAGCCATGTGCATGTGTATGTCACCAGCAGGCCAGGGGTAGAGGTGTGGAAGTGAGGGGCACCAGCAAGGCTGGAGGGAGTTATGGGGGTGGGGAATGAGGGGCACCAGTTGGGCTGGAGGGGTTGTGTGTGTATGGGGGGGCCTTTCATTTTAATCACAGATTTGGCAGAGATGGAGAAACCACATCTAGAGTATCGCATTTAGTTCTG